GTTGATAGATCTTCCACCAATCTTGACCCCACCTTTCTCCTCATAGAGCCCAGCCTCCCAGATAATCTGTTCTACACATAGGTTGAGGGAGCCAGGAAAATATGATCCATAATCAAAAGAAATACTAATAATAAAAGCAAATACAGAAGTGACAGATGATAAGAATTTGCAAACAAGCATATTAGAAGGGAAAAAAAATGAGCCGAGAGGAAACCTCAGTACCACTCACTCCCTTCAAGGAATGCCAGACCTACAAATGCTAAAAGAGATCTACAGTTGCTAAAAGAGACTAGCATCTTTATCCACAGGCAACAGAGAAAGAAAGCCTCACCCTGGAGCCAGAATAATGAATCTGGACTTTATTCTCTGAACCTGTGAGAGAATATGTTTCTGTTCATTAAGGCCACCAATGTGATATTTCTGTTGTAAAAACAGTAGATAATTCCATCTGCAATCCAGCTTTACACAACTGGAGTCCAAGGAAGTATTGAAAAGACAGTGGATAGAAAAAATAGTTAAAGAAGTCATTGTCAAAACCTAGTTTGGAGAAAGCTAATAAGGCACATGGTTCGAATCCACCAGTTGCTCCACGGAAAAAGAATGAACATTCACCTTCTGTCGGATTGACTGATTCTGAAAACCTGCTGGAGCGTCAACTGTGAGTCCGTTCCAACGCAGTGACACACAATAGAATGTTAGGTATGTTACCAACTCACAGCTGTCCCTCCAGCAGGTTTTCGGAAGCAGTCTTACAGGAGGAGGTTGTTCCTCTTTCTCCTGTGGAGTGGCTGGTGGATTCAAACCATGTGCTTTGGGGTTAGCAGGACAGCTACTTACCAGTCAGTCACCAGCTCATAGAAGACCTGTCTTAAAGTGGAGGACACAACAATACTTAAGATGTCTTTCTCCCCAAAGTGCTCTGTCGAGTCAGTGCCATCTGGATCAATATCCTAGCAGACTACCTTTTTAAAAAACTGATAAGATGCTTGTAAAAAGGTGCATGGAAATAAAAGGAGAAAAAAACTCAAAACCCTAAACTGGCAAAAATAAATTTGTAAAAGAAGAACAAGGTTAAAAGAACTATGCTACCTAATGTTAACATTTAGAGAAGCTTGGTGGCCTAGGCCTAAGGAGCTGCGCTACTGTAACAAAAGCATGTGGTTTGAATGCACCAGCTACTCTGTGGGGAAAAGATGGGCCGGTATCCTCCTATGTGATTGAACTCGCTGGAAGTCAGCCATGAGTCAGTTCTGACTTAGTGGTGCACAATGTTAATGCTTACATATAATGATAAAGTAATCCGTGTTGTAGAGTGCAAGTCTATAATCGTAGGATATTCAAACCAGCATTGTGACTAGAAAAGGGTGTTTGTGAATATGAGTGTGACTGTCAGAGGAACAGATTAGAGGCTAGAAGTAGATCTACACACATACATGGGCAGTAAATTTTCAATAACAGAATTGAGATAATAGAGAAAATAATAGGGGCTAGTCCTTTCCATCGTGCTTGGAAAGGTAAAGGGGTCAGTGTAGGAGAAGACCCTCAGCAAGGTGGATTGACAAAGTGACTGTAATGGTGGTCTCAAGTGTGCTAGAGATGGTGGCGATGGCACAGGATGGGGCAGAGTTCAGATCTATTGATTATGGGGTTGCTATGAGTCTGAGGAGGAACTCATGCACTTGCTGTGAAGGGTCAAGGACTGCAGCCTTCAGTATGGACTAAGGCTCAATGTCAAGAAGACAAAGATTCTCGCCACTGGACCAATTGGCAGTGTCAGGATGGATGACGAAGAGATTGAGAGTGTTCACAGCTTCAGTTTGCTCGGCTCCACAGTCAACACTCTTGGCACCAGCAGTCAGGAAATCAAAAAGCGTATCGCTATGGGAAAGTCTGCTGTTAGGGACCTCTCTAAGGTACTCAGGAGCAACAGTGTCTCTCTGGAGACTAAGGTGCGCCTGTTACAGGCCATGGTATTTGCAATTGCTTGTTATGCATCAGAGAGTTGGACAATGACTAGGGAGGACAGAAGGAGAGTGGATGCTTTTGAGCTGTGGTGCTGGAGAAGGGTACTGAATGTACCATGGACTGCCAGGAAAACAAACAGATTCATCTTGGAGAGGATTAAACCAAGCTACTCCTTGGAGGCAAGGATTCTGGGGCTTCATCTGACATACTTTGGAGATGTTGCCAGGAGGGACGGGTCTTTGGAGAGGGACATCATGCTTGGGAGGGTGGAGGGACAGCGCAGGAGGGGAAGACCCTCTATGAGATGGATTGATTCGGTGACTGGGGTAATCGGGATGGGTGTGTCAGAGGCAGTGCGGTTGGCGCAGGATAGAGCAGGGTTTAGGGCTGTTGTGCATAGGGTCGCTATGAGTCGGAAATGACTCAACGGTACATAACAACAACAACAACATGGGTCATAGTCAACAGCACGTAACAACAGAAACGAACTAGCACATAGTTTCATTGGCTTTTCATGGCATAATGACGCACTTTGGGCCTTTGGCACCAACTATTAAGTGACTGCTTAAGTACCACTAACTCAAAATGTGTTTCATCTTTTATGAATGATCAGTTTCCTACCCATTTTTCTTTCTTCTCTATTTCTTCTTCCCCATGTCTGATTCCAGGCGACCATGGTTTGTATCTCGTTTGAGAGAGGGTGAAAAACCAAACTGGACTTAGGGTCTGATTCTACCACTTACTTGACCTTAGGAAAGTCATTCAGATTCTCTGAACATCAGTTTCCTCATTTATAAGATGGGAACAAGAGTATGTGTCCTCAGGAAAATGATCACAAGGGTCCATTGAAGTAACAGATGTAGTCCACTAGCGTAGTGCCTGCTGGTACGTGGCAGGCACCCAGCACGTTTTAATTAGCTTTCCTCTTCTAAGGTGGTGCCATGTACGAAAATAAGGGAGACAGGGTTGAGGAAGGAAGAACTTGAAGAAGTTTTGTTTTCACATAAGTGTATTTTGATATCACATACTAAGAGTCATAATGATTTGTAAACCTTAAGCAACATTGTGGATAGCATGGAAATGGGACTGTGTTCAGTAGTACCATAGGCATTGCATGCTTGAATTAAATGAGTAATGTGAATAATACTGGCTTTGCACTATATAGTGACAGCAGTTAGTTTGAAACTTGTCCTTTTTAGGTGCCGTTCAATGAGTTCCAACGCCTAGTGCCCCATCTACAACAGAACAAAACATTGCCTGATCTCATGCCATCCTCATAATCATTGTTCCATTGAGCTCGTTGTTGCAACCCTTGTGTCTCCATCTCGTTGAGGGTGAACTTACCCAATTAAGATTGCCCAGTACATAGCGTGTGGTAATAAATATTGTCCGGTACATTTTAAAATACCAGAAAGAGTTTTGTGCACTATAATGGGATAACCTGCTTCAAAGCCTCCCATGTTCCCTTTGTGCCCGTACCACTGAATGTGACTCCTTAAACTCAATCTGCCTGATCTATCCTCCACTTACTCCCTTAGCCTTCATATCTGTACCCTTTTAACTAGGCTCTAACTTCTAATACCATGTTCCCCCAAAACTGAACTCTTCTGGGTTTCTCACCTCTGTATTCTCACGCATGTGTAATCTGACTGTGAGACCCATTTTTTTCTCTTTGCTAGCTAATGCTTGATTACAAAACCTGCCCTAGGTACTGTCTCTAGAAAGTACCCTATCCAGAAATTTACTCTTTAGTGTACTATTGTGTCCTACTTGATACAGTGTATCACACCTCCAGTGAGTTGGAGGCGTTCCGCTTTCTTTATGACCATTTAATAGGTTGTGTTAAAGGGGTTGTTACATTCTTTTGTTTCTGAAAAAAGAAAAAATGTCCTATCATTTTTATTGGGAATTTTTAAAAGAACAAACAATAAATACAGTAATTACCATTGCAACACAGAGGAAGATTGTCATAGAAAGATTTTCCCTCTTGAGCAACACTGTCAGTAAGGTGAGCTGGATGCAGACAGTGGTCTTCTCAGTTGCTTACTTTACATGTGAGAGCTGGACAATGACTAAGGATGGCAGAAGAAGAATCGGTGCCTTTGAGTGCTGAGAAAAGTCATGAACATACCATGGACTGCTAAGAGAACAAGTCAGTTTGTCCTGGAGAGGGTGAATCCAGGCTGCTTCTTGGAAGCAAGGATTTTGAAGCTCTGTCTCGTACTTTGGATGTTGACAAGAGGAACCAGTCCTTGGAGAAGAACATCATGCTTGGTAGGGTAGAGAGAGACGGTGCAGGAGAGAAAGACCCTGAATGAGATGGATTGACTCAGTGAGGGTAGTTGTGCCAGAAATGGTGAGATTGGCTCAGGATAGATAGAGCAAGGTTCAGAAAATACTGTTCTTAGGGTCACTATGAGTTATAGTCGACTAGATGGCACATCATAACAAAAACAGTGGAAAGAAAAAAAGTATTTGGAAAAAGCCAATCAAAATATTTATGTAGTATATTATAAAAAATGCTTATGGTGAAATGATTTCAAGAAAATATATTAACAATAAGTCAATAACAAGGAAGTATGCAGTCAGGTTATTCCATCCTGCTTGTTCTTTTTTTTTTTGTAAACTGTTGATATTTTGGTGAATTCTTTTTCAGATGCTTCTGCATAGCACAGAGACTAGGATCTAAAAGTAGTATAAAACATTTCTAAGAAAGTGAATGGTGTGTGAGCTTTTTTTAATTTTAAAATTTGCTTCACAAGTAATTTACTTTAAAAAATTAACATCTGCTATTTTGAAGCTAATCTTAGTGTGTTGAATGTGCTTAACCATTTCTCAATCCCACAGTCTTTTATCTTGCTTCTCCTGCTGTGTTCCCACCACCTCTGATCCCATTAGCAAACCTTGAGACAGCCTCCGACTTACCAAAGTACTGCTTTGGTTTCAGCTGCTCTTTGACAAGAGGAAGTGAATGTGGGGGGTTTTCTCTGTGGTACAGTTGTGATAAAGCTGTGGTGGTCTTATCTCTCTCCTAGGTAGTGGCGCTTTATGACTACACGGCGAATCGATCAGATGAACTAACCATCCATCGCGGAGACATTATCCGAGTGTTTTTCAAAGATAATGAAGACTGGTGGTATGGCAGCATAGGGAAGGGACAGGAAGGTTACTTTCCAGCTAATCATGTGGCTAGTGAAAGTAAGTTTTATGCTCCCTCTCTGCGTTACTAATACGGTGTAACTCTATAGTCCAAGATCTTATCATTTTCTACCCACCCTTTCACTTACTGTCTTTCTCACCTTTGCTTATGTTTTCCTCCGTATGACACATAAATGAGTCAGTGTGAGGAGGAGATACTAGTATACTAGCAGGGTGTCACATTCAGTGATTGGGGTATTTGTTTCACTGACTTTTCATCCCCGGAACCTGCCCTTTGCTCTGCCATGTGCTTCATGCACAGTGTTGTCAGCTTTTCTCTTGCCATGGCAACTTCTCAGTTAAAGGCATCTTAAGAAACTCTGCTCCCTTACTCCCTCTCTTTTACTTTTTTCTATTTCAGTCCTGAAACAAAACTGCTGTAAATTTCCGTCTCATTCCAAAGTAAGTGAGCCGTGAGGCCTCATTAGTAGGAGGGAAAGGAAGCTAGAGAAAGAAATTAAAAATAAAAGTTTCTGAAAGTTTTATTACAAGGCCTTGAGCTTGAGAGATAAAAATAGAGCTCGTGTAAACCAAACTCAACCCACTGGCATCATTTCTGACTCAGGCAGCCTACCATTGGGGTTTCCAAGGCCGTAGATCTTTTAAAAAGGAGGCAGCCTTTCTGTCCCCCACAAAGCAGCTGATGGATTTGAACCACAGACCTTTCTGTTAGCAGCCCGACTTATAGTACAGGCTGCTACCAAAGCTTCATAGAACTAATAGAGAAGACAGGCTCTTACATAAAGAAAATAGCTGAAAGACTCTCATGAACGGGGAGCCATGCTTCCGAAGAATGCATTCTTTCAGCACCTAACTTGACAGGGTTGTTGTAGTGTAGTTGTTGTTATTTATGTACCACAGTGTCAGAACCACCATAGCTGACCCTCTGGGGAATTTTCAGAGGCAGTTACTTGCATGGAAAGAGATTGCCCATCCTTCTCCCTCAGAGCAGCTGGTGGTTTCAAACCACAGACCTTTGGGTTGCCAGCACTTCTTACCAGGAGGCCACCAGAGCTCCCCCAAGGACAGGAAAGCACAGCAAGTCATATTGCTGTGCCTCAGTTTCCTCTAATAAATGAGGAAGTTGAGATAAATTTATCATCTCTAAACTTTCTTTTAGAAGTATTAACACAGTAATGATTTAAAATATAGTCTTAACCTCAGAAGCTCTCTTTGAATACTCAATGTTAAGTCTTTTATTTCTGCAAGGAAGTAATTATTGTAAACAAAATTAGAGGGGCCCCTGAAACCCCACTTAACTGAAAATATGACTGAGCTAATTTGCATTTTGATGGAGGCAAGGAGAAAGAATTTCTCCCGTAAATACTGGTGTAAACTGTTGCTATTGTTGTTGGAGCGGACTCATAGCAGACCCTCCAGTGGGTTTTCAGAGCCTGTATGAGAGGAGATTGCCTGTCTTTCTCCCGCAGAGCAGCTAGTAGATTTGAGCCACATGCCATTGTTTGGCAGTGCAGCTCCTCTCCACTAGGCCCAGAGCTAGACATCATTTGTCCCTGGTGCCCACTCACTTCCCCTTTTTGTCCCCATGTGCCCTCCCTAAAATTCATGGCAGCTCCTTCCTCAGCTCCTTTGCCTCTTACAACAGATGCCTCCCTTCCCAAGTGCTGTTTTCTTAAAATGGCCCATTTATCTCTCCCAGAACAAAATTCTTCATTTCTTTTGTGCCAGTGTTTTAATTCTTTTTCTTCCAGTGGTAATTGACTGATGACTCATTACCCTAGCAAAGTTTTATTTGTGTTTTAAAAAAGGATGCATAGTGGAGAAAACTAGGGCAAGGTGGTGGCTGTTGTTGGTCTGTGCGACTGATTTGTTTGAGATTCATAGAGACACTATGTATAACAGCTCTGATCTCGACTCTACCCTGAGCCAGTTACATCATCTCTGACACATCTACGCCCATTGCTGCAGTCAGAGTCAATCCACCTCATTGAGGGTCTTCCTCTCCTGCACTGTCCTTCCACCCTCCCAAGCATGATATCCCTCTCCAAGGGCTGGTCACTTCTTGCAGACAAAGAAAGAAGAAACAGTTGGATTACAGTGTAGGTGTATGTATGCATCTTAGTCATTTCTCATAAACGGACCCTTTAAACTTCTGAACCTCTGGATTGGCATCTTCCTAACCCCTTCCAGGGATGGCTCTTCTGTGAGATCAATAGCTGGGCTTCAGGAGAGTTAGCTTCTGTCTAAATCAGGAGCTTTCTGTTCCTTCATAGCTGCCCTGAGCTATACCTGCAACTTTAACCAGGAATTAGAATCCATTGTCCCTTTCACATGCAAGTGAAATTTTTGTAGATGTTTCTTGTGTGACAATATTAAAAGGTTGTTTACTCCCTGTTAGAAGAGTATTAAGTGATTGACCTTTAGAACCTGGTTAGTAGCTTATACATCTTGAGAGACTGTAGATATTTGATTTTTGGTAGGTTGAACTTCAGAGTTTTTCGCTCTCTAATAATCACACTACTAATAATAGCCTTTTGGCTGCACATAGAAATTATTCTGTCTCAGAGAGTGACCCTCCTTAGATACCATTACCCCTCATTGAATCTTAGAGGAATTGATGTTTTCTTTCGTCATCAGTTACTGTTTGTTGTAAACCTTCTAAGAGGCATAAAAAAATTAAAAAAAAAATCACACAAAACTATAATGACTGAATCCTCATACTTCACTGGGGGCTATTTTCCGTTGCTCTTTTGTCCTACCTACTTGAATGTAACAAAAACTCACCCACCTTTTTACTTAAAGAAAAGAATGACAGTCAACAGCATATTCCATTCTAAACATCGTCAGAAGAATCATGTTTTATCTTGCTATTAATTCAAATATGCAAAGTAAATGCTCTGAGAGTTCCCGTAAAGGAATATAATTTCTACTGTTGAATTCCGAGCCCTGTCTTCTAATCGATCAACACAGCATAATGAGTTGGTACCTCATTGTCAGTAAAGGTCTTACCCCCTTTGAATCTTCAGCTAATGGAAAGAAAAACATGATCAATTTCCCTCAATCATAAAAAATAGTACTCTTTTCAATACGATAACGTAATAGTAAAATCATCCCATAGATAGAAAAAGCTCACATTAATATATTTTGTAATCTTAGTTTAGAATTTTGATCAACTATATTTTAGTAATTTCTCTAAACTCAGAGTTTCCCAGGTAATTCAGCCAAAGTAGATCTTTTTGTTGATGTTGTTGTTGTTAGGTGCTGTTGAGTCAAGCACGACTCATAGCCACCCTGTGAACAAAAGCTCTAAACCCTGTTGTACCCTGCACCATCCTCACTCTTCCTGACACACAAGAGCCCATTGGAGCAGTCACTGTGTCAGTCCACCTGTTTGAGGGTCTTCCTCTCCTTTGCCCACCCTCCACACTTCCCAGCATCGTGTCCTTCTCCAAGGACCAGCACCTCCCAGCAACACGTCCAAAATATGTTAGGCAAAACCCCATCATTTTTGCCTCCAAAGAGCACTCTGGCTGCACCATCTTCAAGACATATCTCTTTTTTTCCTTTGGCTGTCCATGGGATGTTCATTGCTCTTCTCCAACACCACAGCTCAACGGCATCAATTCTTTTTCTGTCATCCTTACTCATGGTCCAGCTCTCAGATGTGTAGCAAGTTTTCAGAAAGCCCATGGCCTGAATCAGAAGCAGCTTAGTCCTTAAACTGGCATTATCCCTCCTCAATACTTTGGAGAGGTCCCTAACTGCAGATTTTCCCAGTTAACACATTTCCCTATTTCCTGACTATACATCTTCTTTTTAGCCTTTTAAAAATTCAAGTATTCCTCTTCAGATGCGACACTGGATTTATCACCACCAATCTCTTCCTGTGCAATTGACTGCCTCTTAAAAACCAACAGAGGGTCAGTTCTGACTTTGCAGTACACAACAACAACAAGAAAGATACATAGTTCTCACTTCGTGCTTATTCCTTTCTTACCATCTTTCCAAATTACCCTTTCTCAATACAGCAACCTGTTCTTCAGAATTTGACACATACAGCACGATAAGAATTTGTCATTCCCTCTTCAGAATTTGCTGTTGTTATTACGCTTTCTTATTGTTCCTGTTCTCTTTTGTGTTAATTCTTTGTGAGCACGGTCTCTCGGAGCAGACCTTAAACTTCTTGAGAGCACACACGGACTCTTCGTCTTCCCCCTATTCTCTCACAAGTGCCAGGCAGGTAACTTGGCATATAGCAAGTATCCAGTAGAAGTGGATTTAAATAAAGTAAATAAGCAACTGTGTGACCCCATTGTTGTTGTTTACTGTCTAGTCAGAACCACCCCCTAACTGACCCACCCGCTCATTTTCAGAGGCAGTAAGTTGCGTGAGAGGAGACTGCTCATCCTTACCCCACAGAGCAGCTGGTGAATTCGAACCACACTTCTTTGAGATTGCAGTTCAGTTTCTTACTGCTAGGCCAACAAGAGTTGCCTAGTACATGCCCCATTGATAAGTGAAAATGATACCTTCTCCATTTCTGAAATCTTAGCAGAACTTTCCAGTCCTAAGTTAGGCTCTTCTAAGAACACAGTACTCTTTAGTCTTAACATCATCTAAGACAAAAGTTGCTATAACAAGTTGAGGGTAGATAGTTATTCTACCAAGGAATTTAATATTCATTTCGCAACTCTTGCCCAACTGTTGGTTTCTTTTCTCCGTGGAAAGTGTGTATCCATGTGATTATGTCAATGGTTTCTTTTTCTTTTTTTCAATTCCAGCACTATATCAAGAGCTACCTCCAGAGATAAAGGAGAGATCCCCTCCTACAAGCCCCAAGGAGAAAAGCAAAATAGAAAAACTTTCTTCAGCTTCTCTAAAGGTAAGTATTGTCAAGGATATAAATTGTATTATACTTTGATTTTCACTCTCTGAGAATAAAATATTACCCTCTTCTTCATGCTTAGAATTCTCCACTGTTTGTTTTTCATTTGTTCTAGCACCAATCATGTGACACATATAAGGCAAATGTTTCTGTTGTCGTTTTCCACACAAGGAAGAACAAGGCTCAGGTTTGAGAGCATGTCCCATGATGATGTGATGCGATGCAGGACCCAGGTGTAATTTGTGACTCAAATTTGGTACTGTCTCCTTTCTACTATTGTTTCATTCACTGCAATCTTGAGTTGAAATCCACAGGATAAATGTTCCACCTTCCTGGAACATTCCTTGTACTTGTCATTTTAAATGTTTTTACATCAAAGCAGTAAGTGTGGATATAGTATCACCCACAGGTGTGTCGGGTTTGTGGTGTCTGCATTATTAGATCCCTCAAGAATATCAATCAGTGTTTTTTGATGTTAGTAGCACTTTGGTGGAAAAATTTAATAAATGCTCTACCATCACATAAAGGAGTTCTGGTAACCTAGTGACAAGAAGCCATGCTGTAATCCCAAGGGACATGGTTCAAGGCCACCAGCTGCTCCATGGGAGAAGGATGGGCAGTCTCCTCCTGTGCAGTTAACTGCCTCTGAAAAACTGCTGGAGGGTCATTTATGGATTGGCTCTAAGTAGACGGTACACTACAACAACAGCCATCATATTTGGAGTTCTGAGGGCCTAGTGATGAGGAATTGCACTGCCAGTGCAGAGACATGCAATTTGAACCCACCAGGTACTCCATTTGAGAAAGATGAGCAGTCTCCTCCGTACAGTTTATTGCTGGTGCAAACCCACTGGAGAGTCAGCTATGAGTTGGTTCTGACTCAACGGTACACACAACAGCAGCCATCATCACACAGAGCCCTCTTTGTGAAGTGGGTTAAGACTGCTAACCAAAAAGTTGGTGATTCAGACTACTTCCTCTGTGGGAGAAACTGAGCACTTAATTTGCTCTCTCAGAAACACTATGGGACCATTCTGTCCTGTCCTCTAAGGTTGCTGTGACTTGAAATCAACTCACCTGCAGAGTACAAGAACAATGTCTGTCTGCGTTTCATTAACTATGCAAAGTTAATGAAAGTAACAAATTTACATTTAAATGCAAAGTCAACAAATTGCAGGTAACTCTGAGAAGAATAGGAATCCCAGAACACTTGATTGTGCTTATGGGAAACCTATACTCGGAAAGCAGCAGTCCTCAGAACAGAATAGGGAAACACCGCAAGATTCAAAACCAGGAAGCCAATGTGTCAGGGATGTGTCCTATCTCCATACCTTTGCAAGCTATATGCAGAAAAGATCATTTGAGAAGCTGGGCTTTATGAGGAGGAATGAGGCATCAGGATTAGGGGAAGACTCATCAACAACCTACGTTATGCAGATGACACAACCTTGCTAGCTGAAATTCTGAAGGACCTGAAGCACTTGGTACAGAAGGTCAAGGGCCGTAGTCTTCAATATGGATGGAAGCGGAGCATTAAGAAAACAAAGATTCTCACCACTGGGACGATTGACAGCACCATGATAGATGGGGAAGAGTTTGAGGCTGTTAACAATATAGCTTGCTTGGCTCTATAATAATTACTCTTGCCACCAACAGTCAAGAAATCAAAAGACAGATTGCACTGGGAAAATCTGCTGTCAGGGACCTTTCCCGATTACTGAGAAACAACAGTGTCAGTCTACAGACTAAGATGCACTTGATTCACACAATGGTCTTCGCATTTGCTTGCTATTCATCAGAAAGCTGGACAGTGACTAAGGATTTGCGTTGTGGTGCTGGAGAATAGTCTTGAACATACCATGGACTGCCAAGAAAACAAATAAATCTATCCTGAAGGGGTATTAAACCAAATTTCACCTAGGATTTTGAAGCTCCATTTCACATACTTTGGGCACATGGTAAGGCAGTCTTTTGAGAAGGACATCATGCTCGAAAGGGTGGAGGGACAGCCCAGGAGAGGAAGACCCCAGATGAAATGGATTGATACAGTAACTGGGGCAAAGGGGGAAGTTGTTTCTGAGTGAGACTGGCTCAGGATAGAGTAGGGTTCAGAGCTGTTGTACGTAGGGTTACTATGAGTCACAGGCCACCCAATGGCACATAACTGCAACAGTTGCAACTGGAGTAGGTAGATAGTATAATCATATATATTGTTTATTAAATTTTTGTGACATTAGCTCTTGCCTGAGATTAAATAACTTGTCATTTACTAAGTTGTCATAAATTAATGGGATTTTTTTTTAGATAATGTGTCATGACAAAGTTTTCAGTATTTACCCTGTCACACATCATTAAGTCACAACTATTTACTGAGCTTGTTATCACATGGAGCGCTCTGTGTAGTCCCACTGGGGGAAGCAGGAGGAGACCACGCACTGTCGTTGATGGGCTCGCAGGCTGCTTACAGAGGCATGTTCAAGTGGTCAGTTCCAACAGACATGCAAGAGACTGTCATAAAAGTAAACACACTAAACATTGAGAATGCCCAGATAGCAACCTTCTCATTCTGCCCTGAGATGTGCTTCTAGACACAACAATGCTTGAACAAAGGCTTAGAGGATAAAATAATGTGCGATAAGTTGAGTGAGTTGTGCAAATGTACAGATAAGTTCAGTGTGTTGTGAAATTGTCTGGAATAACTTGAGTAAGAAAGGCATTGGAGTCTTTAACCCTGAAATCTCAACCAAATTTAGAAAAGGTGTGAAATAACGATAAAATTCGAAAATACAAACTCAACTCATTGCCATCAGATTGGAACCAGCTCATAGCTAATCCTCCAGCGGGTTTTCAGAAAATTAATTGCATGGAAGGAGATTGCCTGTCTTTATCCCATGCAGCAGCTGGTGAATTTGAACCACCTACCTATGGGTTGGCAGCACAGCTCCTTACCCACCAGGCCACCAGAACAAATTTGGAAAGCAAATTTCTCAGCTAAGTTTCAGTAAGTTACCCTGTGTAGACATGACATCTTAAAAGGAGTTAATAAGCTGGAAATAGGGAGTTAAAGCTGGAAAACCTTATACTTGTTTAATATTTCAGACAGTAAGCAATTCCAGGGGCTGATTCGTTCACAGAGAGAGTATATAAGAACTGAAGCTAAATTATTGTTCAACACTACTGTTGTAATATACTGCAAAGTTGGAACCAATTCATAGCTGACCCTCCAGCAGGTTTTCAGAAGCTTAATTGCATGGGATGAAATTGCCTGTCTCAGGAACAGATGGTGGATTTGAACCACGTGCCTTTGGGTTGACAGTGCAACTCCTTACCACTAAGCCACCAGAGCTCCCTTGTTTAACACCAGCTCCCAGCGTACCAACATACAACAAAACAAAATGTTGCCCAGTATGACCTCATACTCAGAGTTGAGAGCAAAGACGTATTACAATTGAGCAACTAGGATCAATAATGTTGGACAGGTGGAACTCTGGGACATTGAAATTGCCAACTGTGACTGCAGGAGTTAGGATGGAGTGAAAACTGGAACGTATGTTGAAGTCTTAGTTCTTGTGTCCATGCAGAGGTTCTCATCCTTGGTGTCACGTTTTAATCACCCCAGGAATTAAAAACAACCCTGGGTGCTTGTCCCTGCCCCCAAAGATTGGTTCATTGGTTTGGACTGTGACCTGAACAGGTAGCTTTCTAAAACTTCCCATGTCATTCTCACTTGTAAGCAACCTTGAGAACTATTGTGACAGAGTGACCACAAGTGGAAAGGTAGCAGCTGCAGAAAGGAGTGGAGGGTGCTTGTGGAAGCACCTCGTTGTTCCTCAGATGAGCAGCAGGGAGCAAAGAAGAGGTCACAGTTAACTCCTGGCTCCAGAGATCACAGTTGGGCATGTGAGAACAAACAGTCTATGTTTAAAGGAACTGTGGGGGGGGGGGGTGGAAGCTGCTCAGTAAAATGCCAGGTTTCAAATATAGCAAAGTTATAATGTGCCATTTTACCAAGGGAGTATGGGGATACAGCAGAAAGATTAGCAAGGAATTTGACTTTGGGTAAAAGTTGCCTTTGAAGTACTTGCTGTTTTTGTAATTTAATACTATACTAAGAGTTTAAAAAGATGCTAATCTATTTTTACAACCTAAAAAAAAAAACAAACCAACATTTATAGCATTGACATAGGGAATTTGAATCGTCAGCTAGAAGTTGGCAGTGCCCCTTCCTCTTTCCTGAGCGACCTGTGTTGTATGAGTAAGACCTCTTTACTTCCAAGATGGCCCAGTTCTCCTGTTCTCTGCCACATCTCCACATGCATGGAGCACAGCCACCACAGCAGCACAGCCACCGCAGCGTCGTTTTAGTTTGGACTGCAGATTGATAGTTTTCCTTTCATCTTCGTTGGCCTTTCCTCTTGTGTGCCTCTTGGTTCAGCAAACAACCACTTCTTAACATATCAAGCTTGACCTTAGAAATCTGCTTCTGGTCAGTCTCACTGCTACCCAAACTGTAGTTCTGATGAATCTAAAAGAACTTGAAGAAATGGCATCCAAAACACTGAAAAATAAAATAGGCAACACGACGGAAGCTACAGAGAATGCAGGTCCATTTGGACAAGGGAGTAAAGCAAATTCTCTGTAGAAAATGGCACTTGGATTAGTCTTTCAATTTTAAGATACCTGGATTTCTTGAAGATCATGATTTGATCTGGTTGGTTTGAATTCATTTTCTTAGAATAGAATTCTATATGATGTTTTCCCCTCAGGACTACATCTTATAGCGTTAATGTTTTTACTTCTCTGTGTAGGGGAAATGTGTATGTGAAAACTCTGTGCTTATATAAAAAGTTATAGCGTCAGTACCAACCCACAGCTGACCCTCCAGTGGGTTTTCAGAGGCAATAACTCTCATGGGAGTTGATTGCCCATCTTTCTTCTGCGAAAAATTTTTGCATGTAAAAAAGTAGTCCCTAAAAACATTAATACTAAAAGCATTAAAAGGCCCTAGGGCATTGTGTCTGTTCTCTGCCACTTGTGAGTCATGAAGCCAACAGCCAGCCCCTTGAGAAATGTGTAACTGAGCTTCCTCAGCACCTGGCAGAGCTGCGTTTCTTAAGTTTAGTTCCTTTATCAAAATATACATAGTTTGATTTTTATCAAGATCCTGCCTTTTAAACATACCACAAATTCTAC